AATGGTGCTATTGGTAGGGCCCCCACTTGGTGTTGTTGTTGTTCGCACTTATTTAGCGCTTCGTCTCTAGCTTTTTTTTTTTTTTATTGCCTCATTATCACGCGTGATGTAGGGCAGTATATAAGACTGCTATTCTGATGAGTGGGGTACATTATACTTCCATGTGATTTCTGTGCGGTTGGTCTCTACGTGACATACTTAGTGGAGACCTCATAGAAAGCGGTGAGTGTGCAAAGCTGTGTTCAATGTGATTGAAATCTTGGTTTAGAGTTTCTTTGTTTGGTTATGGAGGCGTCTGGCCAAGTAGATTGCTGTCAACTTGACCTTTCCAGGCTCTGAGGAAGGCGAAATCCGCCGAAACGTCAGCTCATTTGTGAATAAAGAATAATAACACCTCGCGTTTGCTCAACAAAAATACGAAGAATAAGTTAAGAGTTTTTATAAGCAAGTACAAGACAGGACATGCTGGTAAACGTCGAGATTCAAAAATATCAACCGTTAGTCATACATACACAAATAACATATATGCATATGTATATATGTACTTGCGTACGTATATGGACGTACGGACATACGTACATGCCTGTGTATACATGTGTAGTATATGTATATGTATATTCCAGATATCTTGGATACCCGACGGCTACGAATCCGGTGTTAAACTGGTCGAATGACAAGGTAAAGGCGACGATTCTTGACTCAATGAAGAAGTTCCTGTTGTTGGGCATAGACGGCTTCCACATCGATCATGTTAGTCAGCTGGTCGTCGACGAATTAGGAAAGTCTGATGTGAGTATAGATATTACGTGAATATTTTTCTTACCTTAAACTAGGAAATGTTGATTGCTGAAGGACTGAAGGAATGCGGTCCTTCGTCGCTTAACAATTTGTCGCGAACAGCTGCTGGACCTTGTGTTAACTTTTATCTTCCAGTGATACATTTGCTCTTGGAATGTTCTTCGATCAATTGTAGACCTGAGAGTAGCTAATTGGTAATGGCGTCATGTAGTGTAGCAACTTCATAATGTACTTTCGAAACTTTCGAACAAGTTACTCTCGACGTTAAATGGCGCTTTTTCAAATAGCGAATAAGTGGGTCCGTTGTGTTCGACAAATAAATACATATTCTCCGTAGGATTCCAACAAACTACTTGTTAGTATACTCAGCCCCCCCCTATTAGGTAAAGAATGCCACAATCATGGTTATTTCTGGAGAACGAATGCGGTGGACCTCTTTTGTACCTATTCGATGATTGATGTTCCAGTTACACATAATGTGTGGTATTGTATGCAGTTACCGTTTTTTCTTGGACAACCTAAAATTGTATACGTGATTAAATGAGACTTGCGTCTTTAACCGATGAGATGCAATCTTTCCAGGTCGAGTTCTAATCACGGAACTTTTGGTTGACTCAAGTTTATTTGTGCTTTTTTCGTGTTTATATGGTTGGTCATATTATTTGTTTTTTACAATCTTCGATATTTAGCATGACGGTGCGATCTTAGTATTGAAGGAACTGACGTCCTCTATCAAGGACTTTATCAACTCTCACAGAGATTTGCGCGGGAAAGAAATGTAAGTGAATACGGTCACATTTTTGTCATAAACGGTTTTATTTGTTGCGAGATTATCGATGGTTATGCAGTCCCGGGCACAATTTTTCCATTTTTTCGGAGTTGTGATGGTTTAGACATTGTGGTTGCCTGGAGTGTCGAGGTTAGCCTCTCCAAAGTCCTCCCCAAGTCGTCGCCACTCCAAGCCCTCGTCACCTTTTGTGGATGAGATTTGCCGACATGGGACTAGTTTGATACAAGGACGATGGTGGATCCTGATAGTGGTTTCCTCTTAGCTAGGTTTCCTGACGGAAACAGCGGACTTCTTCTCAGCATGGTAGGTGCTGCTGAGGGGATGAGTCTCCCCGCTGTACGTCGCAGCGCGACACCCAAGGACACCTCCCAACCACAATGAGGCGGCAAACCGTTGGGAGTGACTGCAGTTTATAAATAGAAGACGAAATTCCACTACTTTATAACAGATTTTGCTTCAGTGAATAGATTGAAGACAACAATTTGACATCAGGTGTTTTCTGTTTGGTTGGAAAAGACAGAACACGGCTGCCTTTTTTGTCTAAGTATGAAACTTTTTTAAAAAAGGAAATCATTAGCATAGGAATTTTCTATATTGTTCTTGAAACAATTGGTGACTTCTTACATGTTGATTTAGCATTGCATTGCAGAACAATCTCTAGTGTTCAGCGTACTGTTCTCATCTCTGCGCGATATCGAGCAGCTGCATGTGAAGGCGAGAGAGATTGGTGATTTGCACTACGTCATTGACAACACCTTCGCTTCGCTGTCGACAGCTGGATGTACTGAAGGACTGGCCGCATGCGTTCATTCCACGCTTACTGCCGCCTATTCTAGGCATGAGGTGACACTTCGAGTACATTACTACTGATATAGTTACAGATCTTGTTATGGGATTATAAGTTACTCATGTTGCATTCCTTTGAGAGCTGTGCATAGCAAGGCAATATCCTAATTGGTATTTTGCCGTTTTTGACCTCGTTCCTAATATCGGTAATTTCTGATACTGGTTCATTCCTAGGTGAAATTCTTGTCATAGATATGCACAGCTTGGATTTTATCGCGTGAAATGAAGATCAGAATAGGTAGCCGTCCCGCATTTGGGAATACTCGTCGCAGCTAGAAGAGGTTATAACCTACATAGAGGACATTTTTGTTACGGTGTTTTATTTTGTTGCGCATCATTTGTTCCAACACTTTTGTGCCGGCGAGTTCACTAGCTGGTTATTTGGCTGGTAATTGATTGTTACTTCATTTCCAATCACTATAATACGTTGTAGTTATCATATGGAATAGGTGCGCGTAAAAAATGCGGAAGTGAACTGAACATAAGCTGCAGTACAGTTCGAAGTGCAGACAATGTGTTTGGTTAACCATAGTTAAATGTAATGAATAGTAGCATGCTTGGCATGCATGCCTCTAAGACGTAAGAGATGTGTCTCTTTTATAGTGTGATGATATTGTCATTCTCATAACTTCAATAAAGGAGCGATTCATTTCGCTAGGTCACGCAAAAGAAGGATGTGCCGGATGTGACCTCCTAACTTCACTAGTTAATAGAAATTTACCGTCTTTTCGCGGAAAAGTGGTAAGCCTGTAGCGGTGTGAAGATAGTCGTCGTCGTACGCTCCAGTCCTGCAATAATCGTCGCGGTGTTAAAAATTGTTCAGGTTATAGAACTATCGAAAAGAGTTTTTATCGAATCAGAGGAATGGGCAGCGAAGGTATTCATGCAGGTAATGTGCATGACTAAAATGATGAATGAAGTAGATTTTGATGCACAGCATGGTTTAAAAAAAATTATATGGAAGCGGTTTTTGTGTTGACTGCTTCTGATGCCGTATAGAAAGGTCGAAATATCGCTTGTTGGTTGTTTGTTGTGTCATAAGATACTCAACGATAAAATGTACGACAATATATGTACAATAGCGATATTCTTATTTATACCCATTTATTATACGAAATATAATTCCAGTCCGACTCATTCACGCCTTACTGGCAGTTTTCTAGTCCGGACAGTAGCAGATTAGCTTCAAGATTTGATACTGAAACGGCAAATTTGCTCACATTTATGCAGGTTAGAATTCAGGCTTTCTCGTGGGTTCTCTTTTCTACCAATACAATTTTAAGAATGGGCTATAAAAGCGAGCATTCGTAGTCGATTATCTCTACTACTATATAATAGTCAGGCGTAGTAGTTACACAAAAGTTATCTGGCTATTTAAAACTCGAGGCCATATCTCCAGTTGGCCAAGGTGTTTCTACAAGTAATTTTTATTGTTCAGCCCAACCATCAATTAATTCGTGTCAATAAACATTGATTTCGATGTCTACTTTTGAGAAAGTACTCTAGTCTTCCAATCTTAAACAGATATCGTAGCTCAAAGTGAATGTTATTGATTGATCAATAGAACTAGCTGAGAGACAGGCAAAACGAAGGACCCGATTGGTGTGGTGGTGAAGTGCGCTGCTCCCCGGTAAGGACAACAGCGCGTGTTCGTTCCCCATTGCATACAGCTGCGGTCTGGAGTTTTGCAAATATCTCAGCATTATATACGAGTTATATTCCACAACATACCCTGCCATTAAAAAAAAGGCAGTAAATAAAAGGATTAGAGTTATTGATTGAATTAAAATCACTCTAATTTCTAAGTATTTGCCAAGAAAATTTGAATTCTTGAGTTTATAGATCCACCAAGACGAAAGTCTCACATTCTCGAATGTACAATTTTGTGTTTCTTTGGTTTTTTGGTCGACATATATCGAACAGCAAAGAAAGTGGGCAAACAAAATCTACTCAGCAAGATTTTCTTAAACCACCGTTCATTTCGGCGAATGCCGTGGTTTCGCTAAAAATTTTGATACTGTGATTTTTTTTGGAAGTTTTTTATTTCTTCAACTTCTCAAGCGTTTTACTTAACAAAGGTTATTTACAGCTGCGGAAAAATTCGCACTGTCTAGAATGTGTTAGAAGTTTCACAACAAAAGTTCAAACGTTGCTAAAAGAGCCTCTTGCGGTTTTACATAAGTTTTCTATAACTAACAAAAAAATGAGTAGAATTTTCAGTTGTTATTATAATCCTGTTGGTTTTCAGTTGACATTACCCGGAGCTCTCTCACTGTACTATGGTCAAGAACTAGGCCTGACAGATGTAGGTGATCCACCCACCCCTCGGGGAATAATGCAATGGTCTCCATCTGGAAACGACCACCATGGTTTCCTTTCATCAGGAAACTCCAATATTGGCAAGCTGTTTTTCGCCGAAAGCGAAGACACTGGCGAATCGGATAATTTCGAGGTAAATCCTTGGATAAAGCTTACGTATTTTAATACCGAGCGTGTTTTCGGCTGGAAATTTGTGAATCATTACCTTTTGACTGCTTTATTGTTTTCTGAAAATATCTGTTCTCGTCTGTTGGTCATGGCTTTGAAAAAATCTAAAAATGTTCCAGCTAGAGGCCATCTTTTCTACATTTACGTTCTTGCTTCGGTTTTTGTGATGCTTAGACCCAATTTCTGTTCTTGAATATGCTTCTTCCTCAGAGTCACGAGATCATACAAAACATTCTCAAGTTCCAAGACTGACTTTCTGTTAACCTCGGCATTGATTGATAATTCGATGTTTTTCTTCAATAAGCACACACGAGGTTATTATAGAATTTATTAGGATACAATAGCTGACTTTTCGGCGGTTTCGCCTTCTTTAGAGCCTGGAAAGGTCAAATTGAGATGCGATCTACTCAGCCAAGCACTTTCATAACCCTAGCAGATAAAGCTTAACAAATAAACTTGTATTCGCATAAGAAACAGCTTCATTTAAATACCTACCGCTTATTTGTTGTGTTTAGGTTAGTTGGTGGACAGAAGCCGCACAGAGTAACACATGGGCGAGGACTGTGTCTGTGCAAGGTCATTGGATTAGTCCGAGGTATGGCGCCAGGTCACGCGTGATGACAAAACACTCCTCCTTGCTGTTCATTTTTGAATTTTTGGAATTGATCCAAAACGTTTCAAGAGTTCTTTGCGCTGAGCCCTAACGGTAGAGACGGTGATTGCATGAGTTCGGGTACAGTCTATCTGATCTCCTGTGAAGCGCGCAGGGACGAATACGTTGGTGAAGCGGGTAGACCGCTCTGCGTCCGCATTAAAGAACACCTAGTCGCTAAATCTAAATTAAAACCAAACACTCTATTAGACGTGCATAGGATGCAGGAACGCAACGGAGAAGATTTTGAAGTTGGGGTCACTATCCTCGCACAGGAATCCAAAACATCGAGGCGTAAAACTCTTGAATCGTTCTAGATTGAGTCAAAAAATCCAAAAATGAACCGCAATGAGGACTGTCTTGTTGTTAAGCGTAACCTGGCGCCATACCTCAGGCTAATCCACTGACCTAACACAGACACAGGTATCACCCATGTATTGCTCTGTGCAGCTGCTATCCGTCAGCTAACTTAAATACTTATAGCAAATATACGGTAGGTGTTCAAATGGAGCTGTTTCTTATGCGAATACAAATTTATTTGTTAAGTTTTATCTGCTGGGGTTATGAAAGTGTTTTCCTGGATACATCGCATCTCAATTTGACCTTTCCAGGCTCTGAAGAAGGCGAAACCGCCGAAAAGTCAGCTATTGTATCCCAATAAATTCTATAATAACAACCTCGTGTCTGTTTATTGAAGAAAAAATTCTCAAGCCGTCATTGCGGATGCCCAACCTTTGTAGAATGCGTCCAGCCGCAATGCTTGTCATGATTAGGTTTTCTGGTCGAGGCATCCGCCCCTAAACGGCTCAAGTATTACTGTATAGCAAGAGTCCATGTCACATTTTCTTAGTTTATTAAGCTAACATAAAGTTGTAGAACACTTGCTCGGCTTACGTTTCGACGCCTTCACCTCCTTCAGAGCCGCATTGATCCGAGTCGTTTGTTCACAACCGATCTTTGTCGCGATGTTGATCCTCGTTGTTGCACCGAATTGAATCGGTCTGAAGTGGAGCAATTGCGTTACAATAAATCAATAACCGTCTTACAAAAAGGACCTTGCCAAACGAGGGTACTTCATAGGAGCGGTGCTGAACTCCAGACGATTCGACTCAATGCGACGGCGAAGACCTACGTCACAACAATGACTGTCTGTGGACAATCGAATTGGATTTATGGAGCTCTGAACAAAGCAAAGGCATCAAAACGTCAGCTGAATAAATATTTCATAGCAACCTCATGTTGACTTAGCCATTGAAGGAAATATTGGTTGTTCATGCCATAGTTAAAGGAAAATTGGTTTTAAATATTTCATGTCCGTGTCATAGTTCCACACTAAGCTACATGTCCTCGTTGTTGAGATTGTGAGTCATAGGAGTGAAATGTGGTACTTTTCTTTTGAGGAGATTTTTAAGAAAGTTACAGTTGAGCTGCGTTCCATAAAAAATTTTCTTCCAGACGCAATACGCCGAAGAGAATTCTCCGCTAAAGGTTTATCAGAGGTTGGCGAAAATGCGCCAACGTGACCAAGCACTCATGATTGGAAGTACTATGAGGGACACAGTTGATGGCGATGTGATTATCTACTCGCGATTTGTCAAAGGCGTCAACGGCACTGCTGTTGGAACGGTAAGTGAAGTCCGAACATGTTTGGTAATGTTGTATAGATTTCCTTGTATTCTATTCTCACGTGTTTGCTTTTTATATACCTATAAAATTATCGTCTTTATCCAATTGGCAAAAGCATGTCAAAGTGTACACTGCGATTTTTTCAATTATATTTTGTAATTGTAGGTCTTTCTCAATCCTTATAAACCAAAAACTCATATTGGGAACTTGGATTTATTATTGATGATATTTTCCAGAGAGTCTTATCATTTCTATAAATGGAACGTAGTACATTTCTTCAAATAAGTACTATTCAGGCGTTTATCGTGGCACTGAACTTTGGTCTGGATGCAGCATCAGTGGACTTCGCACACCTCAGCAGAAATGCGTTGGTTCCTGTCAACAAGGATCTCACTAAAGCAGAAGTAAATGTTTTGCCGTTATTTTCTTTCCGGTTTCAGTTCAAATCGTCTAATTTACAGGTTGCCGCCGTCACTCCGGGAGAATTCAAATATCGGGCTCGCCAGAAAGTCGACCTCACTGGCAGTCCAGTTATTCTTACTGCGAAGCAGGCCATAATGATGAAATTCTAAGGATGACAATTTATTAAGTTTTATGTTGAATAGAAGGTCAATAAATCTGTTATGCATACTCTAGTGTCTAGCAGTATGACAAAGAAAATGGAAATATGTACATCAGAAAAGATTTGGATAGCGTAATAAGGAAGGAGTATGAGGGTCTCGGCTTACGTTAATTCCTGTTAGGGGCGCCGTGCATTCGACTTCATTGCATTGTTAGAGGTTAATTAAAGGATATCTAGACTCTATCTAGAACTTTACATTGACTTGCTGTAGCCTACAGATATGTCGAGCCAGTACTGCTATCCTCCCAGACAGTTCTGCTGCCGAATTGCCGACGCCGGAAAGATGGAAGGCTTGGTGTGTCAGGGAGGGGACCGATCCCATATGTGTGTTGCAAGGCACCTCCGACCATTGCGCCACACACGCCCACGAATAGCAATACGTGAAACAAATTTATAACTGGCTTTGGTTTGAAACCGAGCGAATCACTTACTTAAAGCGTAGTTGATGATCACCAGATGTCTGTTGCTCGCGATGTGCATTGATTTTCCAGAAGGGTTTACTATCTTTTATGCGTGTTTCCTTTGGAGTACGGCTTTCTGTTTTCTTCTTCGCTCATTTCTGTGACCTCCTATACTCTACGTATACTTCCACGTTATGGCAACATATCCAGTTTTTGTGTATCGTAGGGAAAATTTGTGCCATAATCTAAACAAAACGTCTTTAAGTTTTAGTGAGATCTTGTGAAACACTTGGATAATTAAATGGTCCATCTTCACTGATGGTACAGGCCCAAGTAAAATTTACATTCGTGTATTACACAATCACCGTCCGTGGTGATGGCCTAATTCCAACTTCGTAACGTTCGGAATACCCATTCCGTTATCCTGAAATCACTGCCATCCGTGAGTGCAGGTGGTTAATATTCGACGTCCGTGCATTCTCTTGGAGTCCATTCCATTGTGCTTTCCCTCGATCTGACATCTGTTCGTCTTATTATGTTACTGATTCACCTTTGTTTCGCTATTGATGTATATTCTTTTGGATACCAGAGATGGCATACGTTTCGGAGATCTGAGCCACACATTCCAGTGAGTCATTGTGCGTGCCGATTAAATTTGGGGAAAGATCGCTGAAGTGTTTTGCGGGTGGTGAACAGAGTTCTTGCCGTGGTTGGAGTGCTCAACCAGATCTCTCCTTAGTAGGAGACTGCCAAAAAAAACTGTTAAATCGAAAAGGTAAGCATGGAGTTTTGGTCCATTAGTTGCTCAGTGGTTTCTTTGAGTCCGAATGTGGCCCATACTGCTCTCATTCTTCTATCTAATTCCTCTTTCATTTTGTTGTCTACGTTCATCGAGCGTTCAAAATAAACGTAGGAGATGGTCTCTGTAATCAGAGAACCACCCAATTCGATTTTTTCCCCTTCGCTCCATAGTTTTTCATGAACCTGGTCTTCTTCCAACTTATGAGTGGTTCTACCTTTTCCCGTTACGTCGAGTTCATTGAGCACATTCTCTACTTCACCGTCATTTCTCGAAATGATAACGCTGTCATCCGGAGTCGAAGATTTGATAGGAATTTTCCATCAATACATTGGTTCTTATAGAGAGCACTCTCTATAAATATCGAGTATCCTCTATCTCTACATTGATTATTCATCTCCAAAAAGCAAAGTACTCTGAAAAACCTCCCTTTGAGAGCTTCCCAAATGTCGTTTTTTTTTATCTAGACATTCGCGACTAGCACACCATCCTATGAAACAGCCACATCAGATGGTATTGCCCAAAAAAAGTTCTGTCAACTGCTCTTCAAACCATCCCTTCAGCAGCTCCTGCTAAACTAGGCCTATTATAGTAGGATTAGAAGCTGCTTCGTCAGTCTGTCTCGAATAGTTTTCGCAACCAGGGCTCTTACAGTATCCTTCTTGGTAGTGGCGTTTGTATTTCTTACCTCTGTGTATATTTTTACACCGTTAACATTGTACTGCTATTTAAGCTGCAAACGGAACACAAACTTGTGTTCTGCAGCAACACATAAAAAAGTCCCGCTCGGCATATTCATACAAAGGCCAGCGGTCAATTCGAACTAGTAGCTCCGACAACTAACTATTCAAACTACAACTTCAATGATGCTGAGATATTTGCAAAACTCCGGACCGCAGGTGTCTGCGGTAAGGAACGAACGCGCTATTGTCCTTTCCGGGGAGTAGCGCGTTCGCCACCACACCACGCCGGTCCTACGTTTCGCCTGTGTCTCAGCTAGTTCTATCGATTTTTTGCCATCAACAGTCACCCGTCAGCGGGATTGATCTGGGGGGCCCAAATCAGCAACGAACCCAGTTAAGCTGAGGCCGCAGTTTTAATCACAATTTTAGCTTATTATTTACTGCCTACTCTTTTTAACGGCAGGATATACATTGCAAAATATAACAACAATGATGCTGAGATATTTGCAGAGAAAGAAAAGTGGGAGGAAGCAGTTTTCAGAAGGAAGGTAAAGGATTTAAAGAAACAGGAGGAAAACGATGAATTTTTACTCAACTGAAATCTATCTAGCTGTGTAGTCGAACTAATCGCCTAGACACTAAAGTGAATTTTCTTCTGTGACCGAATGTAGTCCCAACCTTATTAGCAAGTCGACTGCTGCTTCGCATTCAACAAAGTAGGTCTATTGGGCAGCTGAAGCGTTTTGAAAGCGGCTAAACGGCTTAAACAGATATGATTTTATTAGTATTTCAGTATCTATAAAGAAATATCGTCATCAACTTTTTGCATTCGAAAAGTTTGTATTCTCTCTGACAGACAAACTACGTTAACGAGAACCGAATGGCTCCAGCAAAATGGAAAAAAGCCTGGTGTAGTCTTTGGTCGAACCCGTAAAGTGAAAACCCTATTGTAGCAGCATCTCTTGTCTTCGGTCTATGAACGGGTCTTACAGCCTCCCTTCTTTGCCACTCAAAAATCCTTACCGGTGACAGTGTTCTTCCTTAATGAAGAGTTGAGAACACCCACATGTCTTTCGATCACTCTGTATAGGTACATCACGAAATCGAATCCACAAACAGCGTCTCAGTGAATTTTCCGGTAGAACAGGTGGTGAACGATGATAGTGTATCGCTGTTTGAATGGATTTAGGCCATATGGGTGGTTTATGACGATAATGTATCGTTGTCAGAATGGATATCTCCAACGTCACGACCGATATTCCTCTCATCGTTTCATTTAATTTGTTTGTAGTTTATGTCTAAACAACGTCCTTTGCAAACCAACTATGCAAGTGTTAGACAACAAAGCACCGGCAAACAGCGTCAACGTGGTGATTCATAATAGATAAATAAGACGTAAAAAGCAGAATACGAGCAGCGTAAAGTCAATTTCTAGCTTTTCAGCTTTTCACCTATGTCGCTCGCTACTCGTGGCGACGGGACGGAATTCCTGGAAAGAAACACATCAACCGTTCCTCTATTAGTTATGAAATACGACGAGAAGATTCCGCAAGATACCGCGCAATTATTTGCAAGTGCTATTGATGAACGCAGAAGTTTACGTTAAACCCACAGATTTATAAGTTGTAATATTATAACATTCTGTGGTGCCTGATCAGAGTCGTACCATCACTGCTGAGATTGACCAGAAGTTCAGCTACCTACATCCTCATCTAACACCCTGATCATCTCTATCCTGCCGGCTCATGACCTACCCTCGCCATGTCACGTCAGGATTTCGGCCTGAGATATATCTACATTGAGCACAAAAAATTATAGGGTGCAGAATTTCATCTTAGATTACGAGTTCTTCAATTTGTTCCAACCACAAGGACAACTGCAAATTTAAAAACGGCCGGTTTAACTCAGAAACGATAGGTGTCCTCAACGAGAATCCTGGAAGAATTCAAAAAATTCCAAGCTTTACTGTTAGAGAAAAACTAAGAGATTTTATAGATCTTTGCTTCATACTGTTCCTGGTGCAAATGAGATTCTCAGTGTGTACATACTTGAGGGACACAAAAGATGTTTCATACAATCCTTTTTCTGTCGCTCTAGAAAAAAAGTTAGCCATAGATGGGCTCAAAGGGCGGCTCCTTAACGTAGTATTACTACTACATGTGCTTGTGAATGGAAATGTCGTGTTGACCAGTTTGGATAATCCTGCAGATTATCAATCTCTTTGTGTATAGCAATTCAACACCTGTGGGCATTCTCAACTACGGTGGAGTGGTAAGTCACTAGGCCAGGCCCACTGTAAAGGTGGAGGGTGGTGTTCTTAAGTGTTAAACTATGATATAGAGTGAAACCTATACTATTATCAAATTCTCTAAGCTGAGGAATTCAAAATGTCTGTCAGGGAGCATATTTGAAACTAAAAAAATGACAAAACACCGCCTTGAATGGTTCTAATCACCTCCTTCGCGCGAAGTTTCGATTCACGCATGACCTATTAAATTGTTATTATTATTATTTTCAGTGATGTCACTTCCACCGCGAGTGTGAAAAATATGCCACCAAACCGGCAGTTTCACAAATCGACAAAGAGGGGATACCAAAAAATAGAGCAAATTCAAAAATGAAAAAAGAATCAATCTGTAAGCCAAGTACGATCCACTAAGATGATGCTGAGATATTTGCAAAATTCCGGACCGCAGGTGTCTGCGATGAGAAACGAACGCGCTATTGTCCTTTCCGGGGAGTAACGCGTTCACCACCACACCATGTGGGTCCTTCGTTTCACCTGTCTCTCAGTTAGTTCTATCTGTAAGAGTTGGGCTTCCCAGATCAACCCCATTGAGGGGTTATTACTGATGGCAGTGATCGATAGCACCTGTTGGGACGGCTCGTTGATATAGGAATACCAAGTAGTTAAGACGATTCGGTCAGAATTAGCTGCTCGCCTTTGTGTACGCCACGCGGGACTTCTTGTAAGTAGCAGTCACAATGCCGCACCTAAAGCTTGGTTAATTAAACCGTTTACCATAATTATACAACAATCATAACAATAGCATAACAGTACAACTGT